GTAATCCCTCTCGGGATTAGTTCGTCGCGGTGAAAGTTGTTGAATCTATATAGATGCTGGAGGGTTCAGTTGTGCGAAAATTAGAAAATATGAAGGTAGAGAGAGAGGCTCTGCTAGGGTTTCGGTGTTTTGGCTTAGAGGGGGCATTTCTAAGGATCTATTACCTCAAGTAAGTGATTTAACCTCTAATCTACTTTCTTTCTTGGAATTTCTGAGGATTTTTGGTGGAACCCTAGAGTTTTCTAGGTTGTGATGGAATTGAGATTTTTGACCGATTGTTTTGAGTTTAATTGATTGCTTTGGGTTAATCTAAGTATTTAATCGGTGTAGTTTTCTTGGATTTGAAGAACATTGAGTTTTTAAAGCTAGGGTTTATGGAAATAGGAGGTTTGTGATTGAGGATGATAATGTAGAGGTTGATTCTGAGTTTTGTGAATTGGGTTATGTTAAGAAGGGTTAAATTTGATGTTTAATCGGTTTAGATTGTTGTTAAGACTTCAATTGTTCAAATGGGATGTTGGAGGTTGAATTCCTATAGTGGGTCCTTGAGGTTTAAACTCTAATTGATGCTTGAAAAGGGGACTTGATGTTTTAATAGACTTTTATGACTTTGGAGTGTTGTTTCGATGGGTATACCCTTTGAGTTGGATAGAGTTTTGATTGGAGCTAGGAATTTTGTGTCCCCAAATGTTGTTTTGGCCACATTATTAGTTTGAAAGCTAATACATGATGGTTGTGTGTTTGTGTGCTTGTGTAGACCGATTGTGAGTCTTGTTGGTGCACAGGGCCACATTGTTGGTTTGTTATTCCTTGCTCAGGCAAGAGGTAACCACTTTCCAATCCTTAGTACTTGCTTCTGTGATTTGTGAGTAGATTTATGTTTTGTGCTCTGAGTAACAATTATATTCAAATTGTATGTTGTATACATAAAAAGGAAAATCGTCTTGTGGGGTTTCGATTGATAATGAATGAATCTTGGAATTGTGAAAGATATGCCACTGAAAGAAGTTGACTATGAAATGTTTAATTACTATTTGATTATGGTTTGAGCATGATGCATGAATTGGGAATTGGTGAGAGTTTTTGATAGTTACTACCACGTGGTAAGGCCTCCATTAATGCATGATGGTTGGCTCAGTACGTCCCCCATAGTGAGAGATAGGCCTTTTGGCTCCCTACGTCCCCCAGAGTGAGGGATAGGCCTTTTATGGCTCCTTATGTCCCCCATAGTGAGGGATAGGCTGGGTTCGGCTCTTGAAAATCCCCTAAAGTGAGGGATATGGTTGACGGGAATTACATCATTGCACTTGCATGACTTGTAGTGGCTATTATTATATTACTTGTGAACCGCCCCACTTGACACCTCACGAGCACCTATTTAGTAGTACCTAGAAGTGGAAAGGTTGGTTACTGGGGCTTTGTCTCACCCCGTAGTTTACAATATTTTCAGGCGAAGGTTCTAGGCGTGCGCCTTCGGGAAGAGACGTAAAGGCTTGAGCTTGGTTTGCTTTAGGCCTCTAGCCTTTGTATATGTATGGCTAGTATATATTGCCACATTTAGGATCTTTTGAGATATTTTGATTGTTGATCTTATTGTAAATTGGAGAATATGTTATCTCCTCGTTTTAGTTGGCCGGAGGCCATTTCTATTGTTTTATGAAACTTTGTTACATGGTTGAAAACTAATTGGATGGGCTGATTTTGATGTATGTTGTTACCCGGGCTGGAGGCTCGGAGGCCCAGTGGATATGAATGAATGATTTTAGTTGCATGCAACGGAGTTTGGGTTTGACCCGAGTTTGAAAGTCAATTTCAAAAAAAAAAAATGCAAGTTTCTTTCTACTATGGTAGTTCATTTTAACAGATTTCCTTTTCTACCATAGTAGTGGTTCTATGACAAGTTATAATGTTTTGGGGTAAGGGTTTTACAACTTTCATGAGTTTTCTTCTTTCTTCTAATCATAAAGAATGCTATGAGAAGGGCGATAATGGCAACAATGCGCACAACCATAACACTGGTAGTTTTTGATTCATTGCTACTTCCTGCAAAATCAAAGTTGAATTTGTAGAGAGAACTCATTATGTTACTAGATTATATAGACAACTCTCAAAAACTAATTATACTTATTAATATATATTCACGAACTAAATTTTATATTCAAAACTTCATCTAAAGAAACTTAAAAGTGAATCCTGTGCATTATATATGGAGTTTGATGGGGTTATGAAAAATGTATCATGTTAAAGTTCTGTAATTTATATTTATTGATGATTTTATGTATATATCAGACTATATTACTTGAATAAGAATAAGTAACTTTTGTTGGAAAATCAGGAACTCCTGGGATGTCACACAAAAGAAGTTTTATATTTCCTCTTTAAGCTTATCCGATCCAATCACACAAATTAGTAGCAGGTTAAATTTTTCATAGTAAACACCACACACATAAGGCTATGAGTTTGTGAGAGATACCATGTGGGGAAGTAGTATTTGTTGATGGATGAAGAGCAGAGGGGAGAGTCATTTTTGTTGAATTGACAAGCGCAAGATCATAGAATAAGAAATTCTCAAATCTAACATTACAGTTCAATCTGATGACCTTCCCACCGACCTTGTTCTGGCAACAATTTGGGATATAAAAAATAGAATCCTACAAACAATCAAAGCAATCTTGCCTATTCAAATCAGGCGTGCATTGAACAAGGCTATACACAACTTGTGATTGATCAACTATTATGTTTCCCGCAGCCACCTTACGATAAGAGTTACCATCCCTAGCCTGTCTTTTAGATTTGCATTAGATCATTAAGTGAAACATTGTATCTGTTTGCATCTGTTGCATTAGTGTCGTTGCTATTATAGTTGTAAAAGTCATGGTCCTGGTAAATCCCAAACATTTGATGACTTGAGTATCGAAACATGCATAAATTATAGTATCCAAATGCCTCCTTCTGATATGGACATAGCTTTGGGAGAAGGATTGTGGCATTATTGAGGCAATTGTGACAAGAATATGGCTTCACATCTCCTCTACATAGTCCAAGTGCATTAACTGTGTTGGGGCTTTTACCATAGGAGGATTGTAGAAGCCATAGTCAATTTTGGTGTCAGAGGTAAAATTAGAAAGGGTATTAAGATTGGTGTGGTAGGCACTTGGTTTGTGTAGTTACCACTTTCATTGAAGCACTTTAAAAGTAGAAGTTAGGCTGGGCGATAAGAAAACAAGATGAGAAGGAGAGGGATTAGAGCCAAGAAAATAGCAGTTGTAGTTGTCATCAACGACTGAATGAATTTGACAAAGAGATTTGAATGTGGAGCTTAGATGCGTAAGCTAAGCTTCCTAGTACAATAGTATCCTAATATAAAACACAGTACAGTTGACAGTTTGAAGATAAGATTCCAATATTCCTAGGAATACAAGTTGACAAGTCTAAGATAGGAATTTTCTGGTCTTCCGGGTTTTTTAATTTCTCTCCATTCACACTGTGGTTTTTCCAAGTGGCCGACCACCATGTGCAGTTTGGGACGTTTTAACTTTCCACATGTGGTGGTGCTTTTTAGGAACTTGGTCTTTTTAGAATTTTACTGGGGCCAATTTAAGTTTTGACTTTTCTTCATTCTTTTAGGTAGAAAACCACATAGAGTTTTCTTTTGTTTTTTTTAAAAGAAAATGGTAGGAGTATTTTTTTGACTGGTTACATATATGATTGAGACTAAGCTTAAATAGGAGCAAGACTTTGGCGAGACTAAAACATGTGACCAAATTAACGTGAAATAAACTTCAAATTAAGAAAGTGACTAATTTCTCAAAGATAATCCTCTTTCACACTTCAAATTAAACGAGTTTTTTCCATTCTCTTTCTCAAAGACAGCCTTCTCTGTGTCGTGGGTTGAGCTCTGCCGTTGGTTCACAGTCTTCTAAACACTGTTGTCTTTTTTGCCATTAAAAGCCTCCCTCCATTATTGCCTTCTCTTATTCTATGTTGGAACTAAGCATTGTTGTGGGTTATGCTTGCGTGGAGAGAATGTTCATGCTCATGTTTGGCTTCAATCCAAAATTTTTTTAATGTTTCGTTTACTTTTCGTCATTTTTGGAAATGGATTAATTTAGTCCTGTATGCTCAATTTCTTAAGATTCTTAACAATGGCTTCTCGAGTTCTCATAAGGTAATCATCATTTTAATATAAGCATATTTTTTTAATTATTTTATTCCAATAGAATCATGTTTGGCATAATTATACAAATAGCCTCCATAGTAATCAGTATTCTTTGAAGTTGGGAATCTAGAATGTTAATCCTTTATCCTACTTCTTTATTACTCCATATATTGCATATGATGTGCGAAATAGAATGAAACTAAACCATAGGAAATTTAGAAAGCAATATTTATTCTATCACAGAAAATCTGAGAAGACCTAGCAAACTGTTCACTAATTGAGGCCTCATTTTTATGCTTGTTGAGCAAAGTAATGTACTCCATCTCCTTCATCTTCCTCTCTGTTTTGCATCTCAAGTGTGCTGCTGAAATTCATTAAGCATGGAGGCCGTGAAGGTAAAGGGAGAGACGAAGAGTAGCTAACGTGTGATATAGAATGAAACTGAACCATAGGAAATTCAGAAAGCAATATTTATTCTATCATAGAAAATCTGTAATTCACACAAAAGACCAAACCTAGACTTCTATAGAGACCTAGCAAACTATTCACTAATTGAGGCCTTATTTTTATGCTTGTTGAGCAGAGTAATGTACTCCCTCTCCTTCATCTTCCTCTCTGGTTTGCATCTCAAGCGTGCTGCTAAAATTCATTAAGCATGGAGGCCGTGAAGGTAAAGGGAGAGACAAAGAGTAGCTGACGTGCGATACAGAATGAAACTGAACCATAGGAAATTCAGAAAGCAATATTTATTCTATCACAGAAAATCTATAATTCACACAATAGACCAAATCTAGACTTCTATAGAGACCTAGCAAATTGTTCACTAATTGAGGCCTTATTTTTATGCTTGTTGAGTAGAGTAATGTACTCCCTCTCCTTCATCTTCCTCTCTGGTTTGCATCTCAAGCGTGCTGCTAAAATTCATTAAGCATGGAGGCCGTGAAGGTAAAGGGAGAGACAAAGAGTAGCTATTTAGCATAAGTTCAATAGAAGCCATGGTAGGCCTATCTGCTACGTTTTCTTGAACACACAATAATGCGATGTGAATGCATCTCATTATTTCATCCCTTGAACCATTGCTGATCACGGGATCTACTATATTTGAGGCTGTCCCTTCCCTCCAGTTTTTCCATACCTGCAAGAAGTTCCTCATATTATTCCCAAGGTACTTTTTACAATTTTGTATGGTAGCTAGTTATGGCATCCATATATATATATATATATATATTCTTATCACTCTCTACTTTTGACAATTGAAAATATATACATAAAGAAAGTAGATACTTACAAAGCTTAAAAGATCTTGTATATCCTCCTCATCAATCAGGCTATTATTCTTTTGGCCACTTATAATTTCAAGAGCCAGTATACCAAAACTAAAGACATCTAATTTTGTTGATATTTGTCCATGTATTGCATATTCTGGTGCCATGTATCCACTGTTTGTCAATATAAAAAATTTTAATTAGACAAAGATGATATTAAATCCAATAATTTGTTAGGTACGGTGTTAATAATTGTGAGTAGTACTTACTAAGTTCCAACAACTTTGCTTGTAGTGTTATGAGTTTGATCTAAAGTAAATAGCCTTGCCATGCCAAAATCTGCTATTTTCGGATTTAGATCTTTATCTAGAAGAATATTACTTGCTTTGAGGTCACGGTGAATAATGCGTAATCTTGAATCTTCATGTAGGTAAAGAATGCCACGAGCAATGCCGACTATAATTTTGTAACGCACTTCCCAATGCAAATGAGTTTGTTGAATTGGATCTGTATAGTAAAGGTCAATCCTATTTAGGTCTATGATCTCTTAAATCTATCTATGTCTAGAATATCTCTTCCACTTTTACCCAATATAAGTAAAGAATAAAGATACCATATATATAAATTAAAATCATTCTTAAAGAGGCTACTATCATCACTTACCGAATAACATGGAATCAAGACTTCTATTGGGAAGAAACTCATAAATGAGTAGCCTTTCAGTTCCTTCTAAACAGAAACCAACTAATCTTACTAAATTGCGGTGTTGAAGTTTGGCCATCAACAACACTTCGTTTTTTAATTCTAAGTCTCCTTGCCCTGAATCCATGGACAACCTTTTGACAGCAACTTCTTGTCCATTACGGAGCCTACCCTGTAGTTATTAGAGTTGGGACATGTAATTAATAACACGTCAATTGTTCTAGACAATGTGATTTTATTTGTCTTGATCTAACATTAATGTCATTACATACCTTATATACTGGCCCAAATCCTCCTTGTCCAAGTTTATTTGCAATAGAGAAGTTATCTGTAGCAAGTCTGATGGTTTCAAAGTCAAATTGCAACGAATCAGCCGGGTTAATGTCTTCGTCATCCATTATTTCAGCTTCATCTGAGAAAGAATTCAAAGATGAGCCCCTCGAATGCGATCAAACAATAAGTCTATGAATGTATATACATAGGTTTTGTTGAAAAACTATTTTATTGATGTGCCCAAGAAATGATTAATGTAAATTATAATTACTTCAGTCTAAGTGATATTCATAAATAAAATTAAAGGCCTTTTTACTACATAAATATTATAATTAAATGTTTAATTTGCCCGAAATAAGCAAGAAACTCTTAATTTTTTCCCATATCACTGTTAGTCGTGAGGGACCATAACCAACATGGCTTTTAATTTCCACTTTGTCGCGCATGGGCCTAGTGGGAACTTCAAAAGCAATCAAAGTTTAAAAGCTTTGACTTAAAGATATCGAAGAATATCCTAATATTTAAAACTATTCCAAGGCGATGAATTGAAAGGTTGACATTGACATATTACTACATAATAAAAATATTATTTTATGTATCTTCATATTCTCAAGTCTTAACTTACTTTCAATGGTTTTCTTCGATTTCCTAACAGCAAAATAGATGAAAATCAAGATGAGAAGGGCGATGGAGGCACCAATCACCACGGCCACGATAATAATAATGGTTCTTGATCTATTGTGTTTTCCTGCAAAAGCCGAACATGCTCAAAAGTTGATTGACATGTTTCTTGACCAGATACACAGACAACCACAATAAGAGAAGTCTAGTTTCACAGTTGTGAATAATTTTTGGATAACCTGCCAATAAGAGAACAACGCACATATATCAGACTTCATACATCACTAAGACAGAAGTAGCCAGATACCTTCTTTAGTGGATGGAACATTAGGTGAACCAGCGGGTCCTGCAGTTTGTTACACAAACAATAATAGAATGATTTAATTAAGGACACATGATAAATTTATACAGTATTAGTAATCACTCCTCTACTCCTTACATCTCTGGTTCTTAATATAAGACCTATTTAAGTAATTTAATTAGATTAAGAAAGTTAAGTAACTTAATTATAATAAATATAACGTGTTTTTCTTAAAATATCCTAATAATTTTCTTTAATGTCCTCCCTTCCCTTCCTACTTGATCATGGTTGAGGGAATATTAGTAGGGGTGATTTGAAAAGAATTGATTAATATTAAAAATAGGTCTTACATTTAGGATTAAAATCAGCCTCACAATTAAGTCCTGAATTAAGGATTGGAAGAGTATAAAGCAAAGAAGAAAGTTTTTTTAATATGAGTCATGTTATTAAATTTTTGTTATTTGAATGAATAATTATACCCTTCATTTATTTTTTTTAATTACTCATGGATATTTTTTCTATTTAAGGCAAATCCTATTCGAGACAAGATCGGGCATTAAATATAAGCAACTCTCCCAACAAGGATTTAAATATTGGTTTGCCATGTTATGAAGAATTAGGCCCTTTCACTAGACCCAATAATTTATTAGTTTATACATTTTGTATTTTTTGGGTTGGGTATATATTAAATAGAGGTAAAGTTATAAAGTTATTAAATTTTAATATGTAATAGAGTTAATGAGTGTTTAAGTTATTAAATAGAGGTAAGACGTATTAGAAGTAACCTTGAGTAAATCTTCTTTCTTTGCCTTATAATTTAATAAGGTTCTTTCTTTATTTACAAGGCAAAATTAGAGAAATTACTACCCTAGAAGCATCTCTGCAAACAAATGTTTTTTAATTATCACTTTGAGCAAACCCCATCTTAAAGGTTGGTATACGTCTAAATTTTTCTGAGTGATTTGCACAGTTAAGGATGAGTTTTGAGAGATACCTTGTGACGGAGTAGTGGTAGGAGGAGGAGGAGGAGGAGATGCAGATACTTGTATTGTATGAACAAAATTAGGATTATAGAACCGGTTCTTCTCAAATCTGAGATTGCAATTCCGTTTGATAACCCTACCTCCAACCTTGTTCTGACAGCAAAATGGGATATCTGATATCGCTTTTTCCAAGCAAGCCTCGCAATTTTGCTCAGTCAAATCAGGCGTGCACTGAGCAAGACCATATACATATTGAAACGGCGTTGAGTTGTTTCCAGCAGCCACCTTGCGATAAGGGCCACCAGCTGCAGCATTGGTCTTAAGAACTTGCATTAGCCGATCAAGCGCAACTGTGTATTGGTCTGCATCTGCTACATCACTTGGGTTATTAATTGCGTAGAAAAAATCAGGGTCCTGATATATCCCAAACATTGAGCTATTTGAATATTGAAAGCTGCACGAGTCATGGTATATAAATGCCACCTTCTGATTTGGACATTTCTGTGGGAGAAGACTCATAGAATTATTGAGGCAACTACGACAATCATCTGGCGTAAGGTCTCCTCTGCAGAGTCCAGATGCGTAAACTGTGTCGGGGTTTTGGCCGTACGAGGAATTGTAGAAGCCATAGTCATCTTTTGTGTTGGAGGTGAAATTGGAAAGAAGGGTTTTGAGGTTGGTATGATAGGCACTTTTGTCTGTGTAGGTTCCTTTGTCATAGAAACAGGTTTGATTAACATAAGGTTGGCCCTGCTGGGAGGTGAGAATGAGAAGATGGCAAAAGAATAGTAGAAGAACCAGAAGAATATCAACAATCAGCGTCATTATTGGGGTAAATTAAAACTGTGATAAATGAAAAAAGTAAAGCTTCTTAAGCAATTAAGATCCGATTTTTGAGTATTACTGATGAGCGACGAAGCAAGGCATATTAGGACAACAATAACCTCAACATCTTTATAGGACAAAAAAGTCAACAAGTCAACGACAAGATTCAAAAAAGGGATATTGCATTTTGTTCCATATGTTTGGTTATTTTGACACGGCAATTCATCAAATGCCGACACTTGATGTGTCTGTGTTTCCACTTCCACGCGGCCTTGTAGTAAAATTCCGACACATGCACTGTGGAAACGACATATAGAATTTATGCGTTTAACTACCAGAAACACTCTTAAGGAAAATAAATGATATAACGTTGTTTTTCTTCTTGATAAAATGATACAAATTTGTTGAGTACGTAATAATCACTCACCCCACTTACGCTATCATTCAGTGGGCACGTTATTGGTTGGCCTCTTTAATACATTCATACGTGACTAGGAATATATATAAGTCTTGCACTCGTTCGCCCCTTACTCATAAATCTTGCATTTAATTTGTTGTCAAATCTATGCGGAGTTATGCTTATGGCATTTTTTCTGAAGATAATCCCTTCAATTATTTAAATTGGAGATAATTGATGAAGCGTATTGAGGTTGGTGTGGTAGGCACATTTGTTTGCGTAGGTTCCTTTGTCATTGAAATAGGTGTGATTAAAGAGGTCCAGATGCTGATGGGCATTGATGAGAATGAGAAGATGAGGCAGGAATAATAAAACCAAAGCACAACGAATGAGAGAAAATTTCATGGTTGTTGAAATTTAAGATTTGCAATTTTGGAATCCTATTTGGTGAATGATATGGGAAGGATTATTGTCAACTTTATAACCCACTAATCAACAACTCAAGGAATATATATTCATATGTGACTAGGAATATATACAAGTCTTGCACTAGTTCGCTCATTACTCATAAATCTTGCTTTTAATTTGTTGTCAAATCTATACGGAGTTATGCATATAGCTTCGTTCCTGGGATGAGCATTTTATGAGGTAAAGAAATGTAATTATTACAAAATACTACGATGTAAGATTTAAAAAATTAATTAAATTAACTATTTACAAAAAAAATGTGCGTTGGATTTTTTTTAAAGATATCCCTTCAATTATTTAAATTGGAGATAATTGATGAAAAGACTTCCTCAATATGTATAATTAATAGAGATAATTTAAGAAATTATAAATTCAGAAAATAAAGTAAATACTTTTTCAATTTTAAAATCAAAACAAACCATTTAAATAAGTGTGTTATATTTCGGGGGCAGCACTATTCAATTTCTCAAAGTCCAAAATCAAGTCGTCCAAGATAAGAGGCGGGCCCGGCCAATGTGAGGCCATGAAGGGGCATAAATTACGTTTTCAAAAAAACAAGATGAATTACAATAAGATTCAAAAAAAGAAAATAGCTATTAGAAAATCTCAGTAATAAGTTTTAAAATTGAAAATAATAACATATTTAATATACTAAGAAATAAAAATTTCTTCTTTTCACACTTATATGCTTCCTTCGTCCTTGCCTATTAATGGGATAGTTGGCACCACAAATTTCCGCAGGAACAAGATGGACCACACGGTCAACACATGTGATCCCTCTTCTCCCATTAATTAGAGGGGGATCCCTATGTTTTAATTTTATGTTCAGACTTTAGCCTTTTTTATATTAAAAAAAAATCAAAGGCAGACTCGGCAAGAAAATTTGAAACCAATATTCTAAAAAATATAACTGCAAAAATTTATTATCTTGACTTGACCTGGGAATACATGCACATTGACTTAGGTTGTCGTCCAATAGCTTAAGGCAAATAGGCCGAAGAGAAACTTTGCTTGAATTGAGTGTACATGCCAAGAAAAGTTGGGAGAAAAAAAAAAGAATTATCATAAGATTTCAAGAAAATAATTTAATTACTAAAAAATTCCAATAACAAGTGATTAGTATGAATATATTGTTATTTTCTATTCTAAAACTTGTCATTATATACTCTTTAATTGTTAATGAACTTGAGGATAATTAAATTCCTTCTTTAGGATCTGATTGTAATCCTCAAAAAAAAAAAAGCGAAACACAAATGGAGAAAAAAATTAGGAAGGAAATATGGCCCTACACTTGTCCTTGCCCTCGTTTTCTATCCCACTTGATAGCATTCATACTTCAACAGTGCTTAGAATTGACGACTACTTGCCTCAATTGGTCTCCAATAAACTTATTGCATAGTACGGAATATACAAGAGAAGCCAACACATTCTCTCTCCATTTAGTTATTGTTGCATAGTTTAAGAAGTCTCATCACAATAACGACCACTATGGCGCTTAAGATTACAGTGAGATCTGTATTGATTAAATGCAATTACAGCCATTTATATTTAAAATTTTAAACTAATAATTTTTAAATAATTTTTTTAAAACAAGGACAATTAAAAGATTAAATGAATTTTTGTAGTTAATTTATTAAATTTCTTTTCAATTATTTTTTTCCAATTTCACTTGTACTAAAAGAAATTACAAAACAAATCTCAATAATAAGTGATGAGCATGAATGAATATGTTATCATTTTCTATTCTACAACTGTCATTACATACTCTTTAGTTGTTAATCAACTTTAATATAATTTAATTTTTTTCTTAAAGATCTGCATTTTTTATTTCTATTCAACATACGAATAGTTCCATGACTTTAGCTAATGGATCGTTGAATCTTCGCATTGGAATAAGTAGAATAAAATGGATTGATATTAGTGTGATCTGACTCATTATCAGCGATCAATCTTGAACTGGAGAGATCATTCCTTTTTCTGATATACCAAATATGGGATTTCACTAAGTCAATTCTCTAAAAATCTCGAATCAAACCATTTGTACTTACTTTAACAAAAGGATGGCGGGTCTCTTCAATAGAAGAAATTTTTTCATCTCGATCCCAATCTCATTGTAAATGACATACCAATGGAGAAAAAAAATTTGGAAAGGAAATAAGGCCTCCCACTTGTCTTTGTACTCATTTTCTCTTGCACTTGATGGCATTCAAACTTCATCAGTGCTTAGAATTGATGACTACTTGCCTCAATTAGTCTCCAATGCACTTATTGCATAGTACGGAATATACTAGAGAAGCCAACACATTCTCTCTCCATTTAGTTATTGTTGCAAAGTTTAAGAAGTCTCATCACAATAACGACCACTATGGCGCTTATGATTACAATGAGATCTGTATTGATTAAATGCAATTACAACCATTTATATTTAAAATTTTAAACTAATAATTTTTAAATAATTTTTTTAAAACAAGGACAATTAAAAGATTAAATGAATTTTTGTAGTTAATTTATTAAATTTCTTTTCAATTATTTTTTTCCAATTTCACTTGTACTAAAAGAAATTGCAAAAGAAATCTCAATAATAAGTGATGAGCACGCATGAATATGTTATCATTTTCTATTCTACAAATGTCATTACATACTCTTTAGTTGTTTATCAACTTTAAGATAATTTAATTTTTTTCTTAAAGATTTGCATTTTTTTATTTCTATTCAACATACGAATAGTTCCATGACTTTAGCTAATGGATCGTTGAATCTTCGCATTGGAATAAATAGAATAAAATGGATTGATATTAGTGCGATCTGACTCATTATCAGCGATCAATCTTGAACCGGAGAGATCATTCCTTTTTCTGATATACCAAATATGGGATTTCACTAAGTCAATTCTCTAAAAATCTCGAATCAAACCATTTGTACTTACTTTAACAAAAGGATGGCGGGTCTCTTCAATAGAAGAAATTTTTTCGTCTCGATCCCAATCTCATTGTAAATGGCATACCAATGGAGAAAAAAAATTTGGAAAGGAAATAAGGCCTCCCACTTGTCTTTGTACTCATTTTCTCTTGCACTTGATGGCATTCAAACTTCATCAGTGCTTAGAATTGATGACTACTTGCCTCAATTAGTCTCCAATGCACTTATTGCATAGTACGGAATATACAAGAGAAGCCAACACATTCTCACTCCATTTACTTATTGTTGCAAAGTTTAAGAAGTCTCATCACAATAACGACCACTATGATGCTTATGATTACAATGAGATCTGTATTGATTAAATACAATTTCAGCCATTTATATTTAAAATTTCAAACTAATAATTTTTAAATAATTTTTTTAAAAAAGGACAATTAAAAGATTAAATGAATTTTTGTAGTTAATTTATTAAATTTGTTTTAAATTATGTTTTTCAATTTCACTTGTACTAAATGAAATTGCAAAAGAAATCTCAATAATAAGTGATGAGCACGCATGACTATGTTATCATTTTTTATTCTAGAACTGTCATTACATACTCTTTAGTTGTTTATCAACTTTAAGATAATTAAATTTTTCTTTAAGATCCGCATTCCTTATTTCTATTCAACATATGAATAGGTCCATGACTTTGGCTAGGGGATTGTTGAATCTTTGCCTTGGAATAAATAGAATAAAATGGATTGATATTAGTGCGATCTGACTCATTATCAACGATCATTCTTGAACCGGAGAGATCATTCCTTTTTCTGATATACAAAATATGGGATTTCACTAAGTCAATTCTTCGTAAATTTCAAATCAAACGATTTGTACTTACTTCAACAAAAGGATGGCGGGTCTCTTCAATAGAAGAAATTTTTTCGTCTCCATCCCAATCTCATTGTAAATGGCATACCCATGGAGAAAAAAAATTGGAAAGGAAATAAGGCCTCCCATTTGTCTTTGTACTCATTTTCTCTTGCACTTGATGGCATTCAAACTTTATCGGTGCTTAGAATTGATGACTACTTGCCTCAATTGGTCTCCAATGCACTTATTGCATGGTACAAAATATACAAGAGAAGCCAACACATTCTCCCTCCATTTACTTATTGTTCCATAGTTTAAGAAGTCTCATCACAATAACGACCACTATAATGCTTATGATTATAGTTAGATCTGTATTGATTAAATACAATTCAACCATTTATATTTAAAATTTTAAACTAATAATTTTTAAATAAATTTTTTGAAAAAAGGACAATGAAAAGATTAAATGAATTTTTGTAGTTAATTTATTAAATTTGTTTTAAATTATGTTTTTCAATTTCACTTGTACTAAATGAAATTACAAAAGAAATCTCAATAATAAGTGACGAGCACGCATGAATATGTTATCATTTTTTTATTCTAGAAGTGTCACTGCATACTCTTTAGCTGTTAATCAACTTTAAGATAATTAAAATTTTTCTTTAAGATCGGCATTCCTTATTTCTATTCGACATACGAATAGGTCCATGACTTTGGCCAAGGGATTGTTGAATCTTTGCCTTGGAATAAATAGAATAAAATGGATTGATATTAGTGCGATCTGACTCATTATTAGTGATCAATCTTGAACTAGAGAGATCATTCCTTTTTCTAATATACGAAATATGGGATTTCAGTAAGTCAATTATTAGAAAATCTCGAATCAAAGTATTTTTATTTACTTCAACAAAAGAATGGCGGGTCTCTTCAATAGAAGAAATTTTTTTGTCTCAATCCCAATCTCATTGTAAATGACATACCAATGGAGGAAAAAAAATTGGAAAGGAAATAAGGCCTCCCACTTGTCTTTGTACTCGTTTTCTCTTACACTTGATGGCATTTAAACTTCATCAGTACTTAGAATTGACAACTACTTGCCCTAATTGGTCTCTGATGAACTCATTGCATAGTGCGGATTATACAAGAGAAGCCAACACATTCTCCCTCCATTTACTTAGTGTTGCATAGTTTAAGAAGTCTCATCACAATAACGACCACTATAATGCTTATGATTATAGCGAGATCTGTATTGATTAGATACAATTTCAACCATTTATATGTAAAATTTTAAACTAATAATTTTAAATAAATTTAAAAAAAAAGACAATGAAAAGATTAAATGAATTTTTGTAGTTAATTTATTAAATTTGTTTTAAATTATGTTTTCCAATTTCACTTGTACTAAATGAAATTACAAAAGAAATCTAATACTAAATGACGAGCACGTTTGAATATGGTATCATTTTATATTCTAGAAGTGTCATTGCATACTCTTTAGTTGTTAATCAACTTTAAGATAATTTAATTTTTTTCCTTAAGATCGGCATTCCTTATTTCTATTCAATATACGAATAGTTCCGTGACGTTGGCTAAGGGATTGTTGAATCTTTGCCTTGGAATAAATAGAATAAAATGGATTGATATTAGTGCGATCTGACTCATTATCAGCGATCAATCTTGAACTGGAGAGATCATTCTTTTTTCTGATATATGAAATATGAGATTTCACTAAGTCAATTCTCTGAAAATCTCGAATCAAACCATTTGTACTTACTTCAGCAAAAGGATGGCGGGTCTCTTCAATAGAAGAAATTTTTTTATCTTGATCCCAATCTCATTGTAAATGACATAAAAATGGAGGAAAAAAATTTGGAAAGGAAATAAGGCCTCCTAATTGTCTTTGTACTCGTTTTCTCTTACATTTCATGGCATTCAAACTTCATCGGTGCTTAGAATTGACAACTACTTGCCTCAATTGGTCTCCAATGAACTTATTGCATAGTACGGAATATATAAAAGAAGCCAACACATTCTCCCTCCATTTACTTATTGTTGTATAGTTTAAGAAGTCTCATCACAATAATGACCACTATAATGCTTATGATTACAGTGAGATCTGCATTAATTAAATATAATTTCAACTATTTATATTTAAAATTTTAAACTAATAATTTTTAAATAAATTTTTTAAAAAAAAGGACAATGAAAAGATTAAATGAATTTTTGTAGTTAATTTATGTTTTTCAATTTCACTTGTACTAAATAAATTACAAAAGAAATCTCAATAATAAGTGACGAGCACGCATGAATATTGTTATCATTTTCTATTCTAGAACTATCATTATATACTCTTTAATTATTAATAAACTTTAATATAATTGAATTTTTCTTTAAGATCGGCATTCCTTATTTCTATTCAACATACGAATAGTTGCATGACTTTGGCTAAGGGATTGTTGAATCTTTGCCTTGGAATAAATAGAATAAAATGGATTGATATTAGTGCGATCTGACTCATTATCAGCGATCAATCTTGAACCGGAGAGATCATTACTTTTTTTGATATACCAAATATGGGATTTCACTAAGTCAATTCTCAAAAAATCTTGAATCAAACCATTTGTACTTACTTCAACAAAAGAATGGCCGGTCTCTTCAATAGAAATTTTTTTTTTGTCTCAATCCCAATCTCATTGTAAATGACATGCGAATGGAGAAAAAAATTTGAAAATAAAATAAGGCCTCCCACTTGTCTTTGTACTCATTTCTCTTACACTTGATAGCATTCAAACTTCATCAGTGCTTGGAATTGACGACTACTTGCCTCAATTGATCTCCAATAAACTCATTGCATAGTGTGGAATATACAAGAGAAGCCAATGACATTCTCTCTCCATTTACATTACTCATTGTTGCATAGTTTAAGAAGTCTCACCGCAATAAATGACCACCTGAATACTTATGATTACAATGAGCTTTGCATTGGTTAAGTACAAGTTCAACCATTTATGTTTAAAATTTTAAACTGATAATTTTTAAATGAATTTTTGTAGTTAATTCATTAAATTTTCTTAAGTTTTTTTAACAATTTCATTTGTACTAAATGAAATTATAAATGAGAGAGAACAATATAAGCAGTCACATTTAATCATTAATTTTAAACATAAAATTAACAAATAAGTATTAATTACTCCCTCCGGTTCAAATTATAAAATAAATCTTATCTATTTACATTTATCAAGAAATTAGCTAAAATTAGTTTAGAAATATAAATAGGTAAGACATGTATTTTTTTTCCTCAAACATGCCGTCATTAATAAAGATAATAAGTAAAAGATACAATAAATAAATCAAAGAGAAAAGAAAATATATGAGGGGATAAAATTGAGAAAATACTAAATGTTTTCTTATTAAAAAAAGAAATCAAACCCCTCTAATAAAGTTTAGCTTATATTTTAAATTAAGTTATTTATATTGTTCACCTAACTAATTTTTGTAGAAGTGGCTTATGTTGTGATTAGAAAGGAGTACATTAAAACCTCACTAGCTCTTCTTTAAATATGTGTACGTCCTTCCCGGGCAATATAAATTATAAAAGGAGAACGATCTAAAATTTCAATTTAAAAGTAATTATGTACTAGAACATTGTGTTGTACGTTATAATTATTGATATTAGTAATTGTAAATTTATTAGGATTCTTAGTTCTAAAAATCACGAAAAGTGATCTGTGTGATTTAAATATTTTATTTAATTTGCAAACAAGATTTCAATATTTGTGACTACTTAAAGTTGTCATTTTTAATTATTTTTAGAAATTTTTTTCCTAAATATCATTAAATTAATTTTTTTATATACGACCTAAGGGTTATATACCCCCATTTACAAATCATACCCTAACAATTTCTCAAATTTCGATGAATTGACTGGTGGAGAAAGATAATGAAAGTAGGTTCATCACTTTCACCACTTTGCACTGATTACCTTATCTTTCATATAGCAAGAATTAAAAATGAAATTTGTGATAGTAATGTATGACGCAAATCAAGAAAATTTTGTGGCAAATTAATTTGCCATAGATTGGTCCATCACAATGGAGCCATTGCAAACTTTTTATGATAAATTTGTAAATTTTCCATTATAAAATTTGTCGCACAATTTTTATGATATTTGCAATCGACTTTACAGTGAAACATATTTCATTGCAAATTTTCAATTTTCTTGCACTCTTCTACCCTCTTATATATTTTTTGGATTAATGATGAGGGTTAAAAAACACCACAAGGAATGTAAATTGTTTTGGCGCATGCTCTTACAAAACTACTATAATATATATAAATATATATTCTCATTTCCATCCAACCTATATATCCAACATCAATGAAGTGGTAGAAGTCCAATCCAAATTGATCTTCATTTATTTCAACAAAAGAAAAGGACATCTTCAAAATATGATCAAATAATCCTCACTTTTGTGGTTACAAAAAAAGATTCAGAGAAAAAGCAAAACCCCAAAAAATGACCAAAACTACACATAATAATTAAGTATTCAAGTAATTTTATTGAGAGCACATTCCTAATCCAGTAGCTGTTGTTGTCTGCTTCCAAACAGAAGTAATATTAGTAAAGTGTGGTGAGGGCACCAATCACCACGGCCACGATAGCGACCATTCTTGAGGTTCTGTCGCTATTTCCTGCAAAAGCCAAACAAACTCATAGTGATGATTAACGTATTCTTGGACTTCATTATTACAAGAAAATTCAATTTGTGTGTGTGCGTGTATTATATTATATTTTTATAAGTCTACATATCAGACCATGTATATTGATCAAAATAGAATTGTACCTTCGGAAGCTTTGGGCGAATCAGCAGCGGCTTTTGGTGAATCAGAAACTCCTATGATTCAACGTAAAAGGTTTATATATTATTAAAAAAAATCGTAGGGCAATTTCAATAGATGCTCTTAATTTGTACAAGGCCGCTGTTATCACCAGCTTGATCTCATCCAACCACATATAGACGTGTGAGTCTAATTTTTCTAGATGAACTCAGTATACATATATATAAGCTTAAACTATTTGAGGGATAACTATATATGTATATATATACACACCTGCAGGTGGTGAGGAAGTTCTTCTGCTAGACGGAGCATGAGCAGGAGGAATTGGAGATAATTGTATTGAATCATAGAATTGGCCCTTTTCAAATCGAAGATTGCAGCTCAATTTGATAACTCTACCACCAATCCTGTTCCGACAACAGATTGGGATATCTGAGATAGCCTTTCTTAAGCAATCTTCACAATCTTGCTGAGACAAATCAGGCGTGCACTGGGCAAGACCAAATACAGTTTCATTCTGATCAGCTATTGCACTTCTCACGGCCACCTTAACATGAGAGTCACCAGCTGCGGCTATGCTTTTTAGACTTTCCATTAGATCATCAAGAGCCTTGGTGTACTTTTCTGCATCTTGTGCTTTTTCTGGGTTGTTAAAAGAGTAGGAAAAGTCATGATCTTGGTAAATCCCAAAGATCGAACGATTTGAGTATCGAAACATGCACAAGTCATAGTATCCAAATGCCTCCACCTGGTTCGGACATTGCTTTGGGAGAATCATTGTGGCATTTTTGAGGCAACTACGGCACGTTTCAGGCTTCACATCTCCTCTGCAGAGTCCAATTGCGTTCACCCTATTGGGGTTTTCACCGTAAGAGGAATTGTAGAAGCCATAGTCAATTTTTGTGTCGGAGGCGACATTAGAAAGAGGGGCATTGAGGTTGGTGTGGAAGACACTTGAGTTTGTGTAGGTTCCTTTGCCTAATGAACAATTGGAATAAACAGTAGCGTCAGGATGCTGGGCGGCCGAGAGAATGAGAAGATGAGAAAGGAATGAAACAAGAGCCAAGGAAATGGTAGACTTTGTTATCACTATTGGAATGAATTTGAAAAATGAAACAAGGAATAATAAAGAAGCTTATTGTAAGATGCAATTGTGGGGTATTATTATTGATTGATGATGTGCGATATAAACATGGAGGAAGCAGGCTTACTATAACAAAACTATCCCCAACTTCTTTATAGCTCACAAGTCAACAAGTCAAAGGTTCGACTCGAAGATTTCTATTCTTGCTAGGAATACAAAGTTTTGTGCACGGTCAGCAATTTTGACTTTTTCCCCTTGCAATCTGGAGGTTGATTGGAATCGGCATTTCATTGTATAGTTCGGAACTTCTTCTCTCCTCTTTTCATCCTCTTTCCATCCTCTTTCCTCTTCTTCCTTTTCTATTCATTGGTTAATATTTTAAAAATTGATATTTAAATCTTTTTAAAATTATTATTTAAAATATTAAATTATAAAAATAAATAATAAATTGCAAATTTTATTAAAATTTAGTTTTAATAGTTTGCAAATGCAATAGATATTTTTAAAAATTTTTTTTTTATAAATATAGTTTATAAAAATTAAAATTTCAATTATTAAAATATGTTAATTCAATGGTTAGGGAGGAAAAACAAAAGAGAGAAGCGGGTGGGAAGGAAAGATGAGAGTTTCTAAACAAGACAACATTATCATGACGGGTGTAGGAGTACAGCTCTTGGGCAGAGTGTTAGATTTCAAATTCGCCCAGGATGGTGATGAGGTTATTTTAACTAGGATTTTTTTCCAGTTAAAATACAAATTAAATTGAATTTAATTATTAAAGATATTGCATTAATTATGAGATTGTTAATTTAGAAGAAAGAAATAAATATTATTTTTAGTGTCTAGAATATGTTAATAATTTTTTTTTAAAAATATCGTCGCTATGTATAAGTGCATTCCTTTCTCATCTTATTTGTTGAATTTTCCAGCCTCCTCTTATTCTCTCTCTTTTCCTCTCTGCTTGATACATCTGCTATTCCCTATTTCTCTCTTTTCCAGTCGGTATACCTGGCACGGTCTTCCCCATTTCTATCTCATCTTCTTGACTTATAGGAACGCCTTTAAAGAAAATAGAAGCATTTGGGTAAAAACCAAAATCGTGATTTTTTTAGCTAAACAATGTTTTTTTTTTTCAAAATCAATTTTACATAGAAAACCATGGTTTGGGGATATGGAAAATCACGATTTTTCAAAAGCCAAATTTTTTAACTTTGGAGGTGGAAAATCATGATTTGGGGTGTAATAATGAAAGTGGCAAGCATATGGTATTCAAGGTAACCTTATCTTCTTCCTTTCAAACTGCATGAGCCATTGTTGTCACTAAACGACTTCTTTCATTTTAAAGACACTTTATTTATTTTAACATTGGTCAACAATAATAATTTTTTATTCATCTTAGTATGACAATTTTTAAATTTTTATAATATATTTTATTATTTAAAAATACAATACAATCATTTTTATTATTTTAGTATGTAAATATTACATTAGTTTTGATACAAAAAAGTGATTCTCATTACAATCATCCAAACATTTTCAGTTTATTAATTTATCTATTTAGGAGTGTTTGGAATAGCTTTTCAGAATTAATTTTATAAAGTTTGAAATAAATATGTGAATAGAATTTTATTTCTTTTACATAAAAATACTTTTTCAAATAATCACGAGTGTTCTCAAGTTCTCAAAATAACTTTTTTTCCCCCAGAAACTATTCTCTAAAAATTAATCCAAACAAATCTTCGGTGTTGTGCGTTCCTCATTCATGTCATAGAATGGGACGTTTTAGGTCAAACATGATGATGTGGGGCTTTTGACAACTTGGGGTTTTTGATGTAACTCCAACACAATTACTTTCTGGGAAAAAAAATGGATTAGTTTGAAGTAATCAAATACTATCTCCGGTCCTAATTATAAGATATTATTTGTAGTCTATAAACAATATTTTATAATTAGAACCGGAAGTAGTAGATGACTTTATATGAGCAACTGGTTTTGGGCCAATGCAAATAGATATTTAGCGGGTTTCAATCTCAGAACACGCCTAGGAAATTATGAAACACAGGTTGATGGATTATTTAGGAAGAAAGGCTTCTTTGTTCAGCCGAAAAGAAAGAAAGAAAGAAGGGCTTCTTTTTTAATTGGCTTTTTCTCCGATCCATCTAACTTTGACAATAAAAGCAAGGCACTGAGACAGCGAGAAAATATTGTGATGAGCAGTGAAGAAACCAATCTACACACCAATGACCATTTTTATTTTTATAATTTTAATTTTAATAATTCCCTAAGAGTTATCACATTATATACATATAATGTAAGTATATTATTTGATAAAATTCAGGTCTTTTTTAGTCATTTTATATATAAATTAGTTTTTTTATTAATCATCCAAATAATCTTCAGTTTCACAAATAGACTTTTTAATAAAGCCAATCCAAACATAAATTATATTATACTAACTGATTTTTATTCTCACTTAGGTTTGTAAAAGTCAGATAAAATAAAAACCACTTTTATTACCAATAATCCATACACACCCTTAGACTTTTCAGCAAACCTAATGATAAATTCCTGTTTTAATATATTATCTGATATCTTTTTGTGAATATTTATTAACTAAAGTGGGATAATTTGCATTGACTATGGATATTTTGAATTAGATGCTGATTGCATGAAATTAGATATTTAAAAAGAAATCTTATCATATTTTTATCATTTCTTAAATAATTAATTTTGAGCTTTATGATAGTATCTCAATTTATCTTTTATAGGCCTCAGAAAAGAAAATAAATATGAAAAAAAGCTGAAAAAAAAAGAAAAAAAAGAAGAAGAAAAAGAAATAAGAGACGCAAGGGCAGGGCATCAAAAGATTAGGTTTATTTAAATATATATTTATATATATATATATAAATATGTTGATTAGGGACGCCACATGAATACACAGCTGCCGAAGGCTCCTTCAAATACCATTCATATACACTGCCAAGAAGTTCATATCCTCTCCTCAACGTCACGCAACCACACACCATCACTATTCACTCGATCTCCATCCAACCTCCACGGCCTCATAGATTCTTACTCCTTCAAATATTGTGAATTCTAGAGAGGCTGATCCCATTGTGTTTGTTGGAGATGGATGAGTAGTTTGAGCTTGGAGTTTCAACTAGGGGAGTATTTAGTTTTCCAATTAATTTTTCTCTTGGATCTCATTAGATTTTCCTATGTTAGTAATATTCTTATTTGATGTGGAGAGTGAGATTATGGGTTATAATTTCTGTTAATTGGATTTTTGCATTTTAATTTGAGTTGTATTACTTGGGATTTGAATTTATATATGATTTCTTTGCATTCATTAAAATTATTTTATCTGGCGTGTTGGATTTTATGATTGAGATGTATTGCAATTGAGTGTCTCTGTGAACAATCTTTGAGACATAAACAAGTTTTATTAACTCAATTTAAATTGCACATCAGGTAATTTTTAAAGGTATCTTAATAATTTGATTACTATCTAGTGTTTAAAATAGTCAGATGTTAAGTTTACTTGAACCAAACTGTGTTTGGATTGCTTTATAACTTAATGCATTATTTTGCTCCCATATTTTTATTAAGAAAGGATAGTTACATTTTGTTTTCAAGAAGCATTCTCATCTTGATTTCCTAAAAATTCAAATTTGCATTTTTCATTCTCTTTTTATTAAAAATACAAAAAAAAAGTAGTTTAGAATGATTTCTTTATTTTCATAATTAGTTTTATAAAAAGAAAAAAAATCCCTTTTCAAATCCTTGATTTTTAATGCTTTTGTTATTTAGTTAACTTAGGAACTAATAAAAGTCTCCCAAGGAGACATGACCTAAATTGTGCTTTACTATATAATTTGGTTTTATTTTTGATTTAACCCTAGATGACTAAACAGCTTCAAATCACCTAACTAAATTAGTAACTTGGGATAGATTTGCCTGTCTAAACTCAGAAGAAGTCAAGTAGTTGAAGACATCAGGGGAGGCTGCTGAGGTTGTTGAAGCCACCCATGTGAACTTATAAGAAACTTCAAGGAATTTATTTGCATGGGGACCACACGTTTTAATGTTAAGGACCAGGTCCATATAATCCTTCGTAACGGCGTTCTACAGTATTAATCATGGTTAGGGTGTTCATTACAGATGTTTGCATAACCAGCCTTAAGATATTATCGATTAATTAATACTCTCTATATATACATGATAAAAACTTCATCCGATGTAACAAAATTTATAAATCATGAATAATATAACTCAATCACACATTCTATACTTACATGGAACCCTCATTAATTCAAATTCATCGGTTGTATAAATGGAGAATGGGTCTAGTGGAAGGGATGGGACTAGTCCTCACAACGTGATAAATCAGGATTCGAATCCCCGTTAGAATACGTTCAATCAATGCCTAGCAATCTTGTAATAACAATAATGAATAAATAATATTTTTTTCTGGTCTTTTGTCCTCTGGAATCAATTTCCTTGAACTTTCCAGAGCATATCTAATTAAATATTGTGTAATTATATATTTACGAGAAACATTGAGTGTTTTGAGTGCGTTAACCCACCTAATTTGCTCTCTAGGCCATGTAACCTAATCAGGCTACGTATCAATCAGTTTTCCCCTTGTTTGTGTTAATCCACCATACAACTCCATTGGGATGTTTCTCAACCTCAAATTTAGCATAAATAAATAAATAAAACACAGGATGAAGACATCCTTTCAAATTTCCATAAGACTATTGAATGAAAATTTGAAAAACCGTCTAAAATTGAAGGAAATATATGACTAAAACAAGATGCATAAATATATTAAAGGATATCAGACAAAGAGTCTTGCTTAATAGAGTGAGAAGTTTGTTAAGTTTTGAAGACATACTTGGTGATATAGTCGAATTGGTGGTAGACACTGGGGCAGATGGAGGAGGAGGAGGAGGAGATGATTGCAATGAGTTGACCACGTCTTTATTATAGAACAAGTAGTCCTCGTATCTAACATTGCAGCTAAGTTTAATAATCCTTGCACCAATCAGGTAATTACAACAATCATTGAGTTCCACGATGGGCTTGTTCAAGCATTTTACCACAATCTTGCTCAGACAAGTCCAGCGTGCGTTGAACAAGACCATATATAGCTTGTTGAAACAAGCCCTCTTCATTTGATGCTGCAAACTTATGACGAGAGTCACTAGCCGCCGCCTTTTTTGCTAGTTTTTGCAATAGATCATTAATCGTTGCATTGAAGTTCATATCTATTGCATTTTTAAGGTTGTTATATGAAAAGAAAAATTCAGGGTTTTCATATAACCCAAATATTTACTGATATGAGTATTGTAGAATGCATCCGTCATTATATCCCATTGCCTCCTTCTGATTTGGACATTTTGCTGGGAGAAGCATTGCGGCCTTGTTGAGGCAAGCACGGCAAGAATCTGGATTCAAATCTCCTCTGTAAAGTCTGATTGCGCAGACTATGTTAGGGTTTTGGCCATAAGAAGAATTGTAGAAGCCATAGTCAATTTTTGTGTTGGAAGTGAGCTTGGGAAGGAGAGTATTGAGGTTGAAGTGGTAGTTGCTTGTCTCTGTATAGGTGTTTCCACTTTCATTGACACAATCATAATGTATGAATTTGCTGAAGTTAATAAACAGGCCGGTGGTGGGAATGATGAGATAAAGGAAAGAAAGCAGAGTTAAAGAAATGATAGACATTGTGTCATTTGGAATTTGTAGTGGCCCTGGAATTGCCCTGCTTTTATTATTACACAAGTCTATGTGTCGACCTAAAGGAGAAGATTTGAATTGTCAAACAAAACCTGAAATATCCTTCTTTTAACCTCTCAAAGTACGCGTTTACAAATGTTATAGTTCAAACGGATCACGAAAGAAACTCGTAGATTGAACTTTGTGATTGGTTCTCGGGTTACTGTTTACTGGTTAAATTCTAGATTTTTAATCCAACTTTGATAGAGCAAAACTCTTAGCACACACATCCATTTTAAGGGCCTGTTTGGTTTGAGGGAAGGGTAGGGGAGGGAGAAGAGGGTGGGGTAGGGAAGGGGATGGGAGGTTTTATCTTCACCTTATTTGATTTGATTAAAACGGAAGGAAGGAGAGGATATTTAATGATCCCTTGTTTGGTTCAAGAAGGGGAGGGGAGGAATAGTAATAATCAATTTACCATTTTACCCTTACATATTAGTTTATATTTTTTATTGATATATTATAAAAAATAATTTACATCTTAATTTAAATTATATAATTTAATGAAAATTCAGTCTTATCATGTTAATATGTGCATTAAAAAAGTGGTACAGTAATTTTTTATTCTAATTAATATAATAATATATATAAAATAATTAAATTAACAAATTTTATACTCTAAGAAAAATGAAATTTAGGCTATCTTTTTTTTTCAACTTTAAAATATATTTAATAAATAATATATTTATAAAAAAATTAATTTTATAATATTATAATTTGTATTTTTAAATAATTTTTATTTTTAGTTTTTACTTAGAATAATTTATTTTTAATTAAAATAAATATTATGATAATATATTTTATGGATAGTAGTGGAATATTAAAAAAATCATAAGGGTATAATTGTCCAAAAATTTAGCTCCCCTCCAAAAACCCTCAATTTGGAGGGGAGGGGTTCATTTTCCCTCCCCTCCCTTACCCTCCCCTCCAACCAAACAAACCCTAAGTGATCTACCACTTGCTTTAAAGCTTAGAATATGTACTTTAATCACGCCAAATTTCATACCTTAACTCATTTATTTGATAGGTCAAATTGAAGTTGGAAACTAACTGCTTCAGGACCTACGTTTTATCTATTGTACAATTCTTACTTTAATTCTCCCTTCATTCGAACATGCAACAACGAGCCTTATTAATTCCCTTTCATTCATATACTTTGAGTTGCATGCCATAATATTATACATCATACATTACATCACATTTCATGCTTGACATATCCATAATTAATTACACAATTAGCGATGTCAATAATTACATTGAAACACATGTAAATCCTCCACTTTCTTTGCTTCCATCTTCTTGCCCTTCTTCATACATGCCTTCTCTTTATCATTTGACCTACTATGGTTGGTTAAGGGAGAGTGAGATTCAGGAGAATCTCAGTAGCAAACAATAACCACCCAAACATACATGACAAGCTTGGCATTTATAACATGCTTGCAACTTAACATTTCTATAACATAGTGACATGTTTGGAAATCATCACACATTAACCATAAAACACATAGGCCTATGAGACATTTCAAACATATTCACAATCACAATGCATGAGTTCATAAAACCATATAAACACAAAATATGTCATACATACAAGCAAATACCAAGCACATAAGAGTAGGGTAAAGTTTGCTACCTTGTGTCCTTAACCTTTCTTCTTACTCCCTTTTATTTCCAACCATTAAGGTTTCTTGTGCAACCACATCCAAACCTTTTCTTGGATTCATCAAGGTTCTAATCACAACCACAAGGGTCACATTACTCATTAGGATCAAGAATTACACAACATGGAAGACTTCTGTCCTTAAACTTAATTCTTTTTTTTTAATTTATAATGTAGTGTTCTAACTTTGTAAAAATTGTTCCCTTAGACCAATCCTATACAATTTTGCTCAAGGAATCCAAATATGAGCTTAGATTTATCAAAATCCAATTCCTTCCCTTGGTTCTAGGCCAAAACTGAAATCTGCCACTTAATTTTCAGTTTTGATTCCAATGCTTCCAACTTCATTCTTTCATCTTATCCCTACACAATTTTTCATTTTAAATATATTGGAAGCATCAAAATCATCAAAATCACATCCTAGGCATAAGAACCAGGCCTAGCTGAAACATTTTGTCAAGTTACGCAATCACGAAATTCAACCAATTTCAGCATAAAACCACTTGATTTGTGTTCCTTTTAAGCCTTTGAACATTATTCTAACATCAATTTCATCTCCCCTCACACTTAAAAATTTCGTGCAGAACCTCTCCCAAGGGTTTCAAGCTCCCAAAAATTATTAAAATCTATAACCAAGCTCAACAACAACAAGGGTGGTGAAAACCACATCAAAAACCATGAGCATACCTTGTTTTAGAGCTTGATTTTGCATGGGACCACTTGACCCTTCTTTCTCCCTCTTTCTTCTCTCTCTAAAAACCATGTTGCCAGAGCTTCCCTAAGGTTTCCATGGCTTAGGATGAAAATAACGGAGGGGAGGGGGTATTTACAGAAAATAAGATTGAATCTGGGCCGTTGATCTTAAAAATATCTGGCTTGATCTGAACCGTCCATTTTCTCTTTTAATCTTGTGGTGACAAGTGTCCCATGACATCATGCTTACCTTATCATGATGACATCATGCTTACATCATCAATCCACATGCTTTTAATCCGACCGTACACGTGTCTTGCATCTAGCCATATACATAATACTTTCTTTTGCTATCTAACTGTACACTTGTCTCCTCCATATTCCTTCATCATTAAGGCATTAAAATATAGAGGAAATTAATATAAAATTCGTGCAAAATACAACCTTTAGGCATTCCTTCACCTATCTTGCCATTCTACACTGTATATGATACTTTTTGGGGTCCTGACTTTCTCGGGACCAGTGGGACATGTTATGGCACTATTTTCTCACCTCAAATAAAGCCACATGGCATTATATAACATGTCGAAAGAAAGAGCGATGCCTTTCCCTTGTTCTTCTATTAAAATAATTAATCATATTTATTTCGAAATGAACTTAATCGAATTCTTTCTACCTGTCTACGACTCCGAGAATCTATCTCTGGGTACCAATAGTATTTATTCATCACAGAGAATTCCTCTAATTTTTTTTAAGTAAAAAATCAACCTCTGGACATTTGATTTTGACTTTTCCCGGATAGTATGTAAATAGGTTTTAAATTCCATTAAAGCCAATCTCTTCGCTTTCTGGGGACATAATTATTTTTAAAACCTGTGATAATTTCTCAAGTATTTTTTCCCATTTTCTTCCAATTATATGAGGCCTCCCTATATTTCAAATAATTTATTCTTCAAAATATTCCAAATCAGTCAAAATCCTGCGAATTCCATAATTTCCCTCTTGAGGCATTTTCGTCATTTTTAGCCTCATATAGGCTCTGAGTCTTATTCTCATTTTTCTGAAATTTTTCTAAAGTGTTCAGGTCTTAACCTACCATTTCCCTTTTTTTGGGATTTTTCTAGGATTTTCGAGCATAATTTTCATTTTTGCCCTTACTAGCTCAAAATTTTGTAAAATTACAATTTTACACTTAGTTTGGCTTAACCTCAAAATTTGCCTCATTGAGACCTCCAATATAACTATTGGCTTACATTCATCTCTATTTTTTATTCCTAGGCCCTGAGACTTCATCGGAGTCTCTAACTTCCTCTTTTCTCAGTTCCAAAAAACTTTTTCTTTGCGATTTAATCTCTAAAAATCCCTCTGTCCTTCTAAGAAATCTCTGGGACCTCTACCAACAAGGATCTGGTAGCCTACCCATTTTAGGCTAATTTTAGTACTTCTAGGCTCAAAATTTGGCATGTGACAAAACCATTGCAATAGCTTTGAATATTTAATGAATCTTGACATTGTGATCAAGAGTACTTTCCAGTGAACAATATTTAATTAAGATCTTTTTAGATTAGCCACCTGTTTTGATGGATGTAAGATAATTTTGGTCATTTCAGCCCATAGTAATTGTAATTTGTTCATCAGTGTAGCTTCATTAGAAATTAAGTAGCAAGATTGATGATCAATAATATAATGCTCCTCTAGCCTTGTTTATAGGCTGTGAAGAAGTTTTTGTTCTTATTATAACTCATCTCATTGAATTTAATTATTATATGAATGCATAACTTTGTTCTTAATATATTGTTTAATATATTGCTATTTTCTTATAAAATACATTTATTAAATGGGGTTAATGTTGAAAAAGTCATTAAATTTTACAACAGAATTAATAAGGTTGAAGGGTTTTTTTCATTTAGATGAAACATATTAAAAATACCTTATAAATCAGATTAGGAAAGTATATTTGATAGTCACAACAAGATTGTTCCTCTGTAAAAACTAGTTGGATGATTGAATTGTCTTAAATATAATAACATAATCTATTTTATTTCCTAAATTCATAAATATTTTTCTAAACTCTCCTCATTGGTTGTATACATTATATTGGGTATTAAATGGTGGTTTCAATCAACATAATTAAAGAGGATATTTTAACAAAACTAATATATCTTTTTTATAAATAATTAACTTAATTAATTTTCTTAATCTAAATTATCTAACTTTGTTATTATTCTTTTTCTAATTCGAGATGCAAGTACTAACTCTATAAAGTTACAAGCACAATTAAACTCATAATTTTTTGTTTACAACAAAGAATTCATACAACTTTGTTGCAAGGTCGTTGGCACCTAGTTCCCATATTAAAAATCACAAAAAGTATTTTTTTATAAAATTTACACAAGTCAACGAGTCTACCTTAAGGGACCAGCTAATTGTTTGTCCTCCTTATCAACGTCACGTGCTAGCTCGTTCAACGCAATTGGTGCTGGTCCAAGCCAACTGCCTTTCTTGGAGGTGGGGCGGGCGGGCCATCTAGTAATATAAAATCTATAAATAAGTTATACAATTGGCGAAAAAAATAAAAATCTAAGGAAAAATCGCA